CAAAGAGCCGAGTAGTCTCTAGCCCTTCCCCACCCCCCAACTAAGCATCTCTGCCCCCTTTGACTTGGGGCTTTTGGCTGTTGTGTTGGAGTTGCAACCCCCAAGTCCATCTGGCATCGAATGCTTAGTTGCTCCGGAGACTCTCTTCCAGGAAAGGGAAGACCCACGGCGTTATGTGGCGGGGTATCTCATGTGGAGATGAACACATAACTTCCCGGGCACAGTCTCTCATGGAAATGGTCAAATCCTCCGCTTCCATGCGTGCCACCCGGGAAGCCAACCGTTGGGTTGACTAGCTTGGATGGTGAGGAGAACTTGGCCATACACCATGGTGACCTTGAATGGTAGCGTGTCTGGTGAAAAGATGGTGTGTTTGTGTGTGGGGTGTCTGTTGATTCTTGAAGTCATCCCACAATTTGAACGCCTGCTTTCCCGACTCCTGAGAAGTGTAGTAGGTTCTGTCCGAGTCAAACATAAGTCATTGTGCTCTTTACTACACCGTAACAAAGCACTCTACGGCCCGCGGGCCACATCCGGACCTTCGGCTGGCCCTGTCCTGCCCATGACAATGGCGGCAACAGCAGGGACCCTATTGGTTCTGCCTTCCATAATGGTCCCAGGTGTCTCCTTGCGAAAATTAATTGCCCTCCCCTCCCCTAAGGGGTTGAGTTGAAGAAATGTCACTGTCAGTTCGATCTTGGCTGATCTCAGAAAGCTAAGCAGGGTCAGATCTGGTGAGTCCCGTGGATGGGAGATCAGCAAGATCTCAAAAACAACCACAACAATGGAAAAACCATATTGTGGCCAAGAAAACTGCACGGGCACCCATGAACTAACCAAAGGGTCAAGCTTGACTTAAGAGATGGTGGTCACCTGACCTTTTGGTTAGTAGGTTTTCCATCCTACCTCTGCACCGCCTTCAAGGCCTCCTCCTTGTTTGGTCAGCCGCGAGGTCTAGGATCTTGGCAGTCCCGTAGAAGCCGAAAGCTGGCGATAGTTGTCGTGGGGGAACGGGTGCATGGGTTTGAGTGAGCTCCAGGTTGAACGTTCCACCAGGTGAGGCCGTCAAATGCCTTGTGTGATTTGGGTTTCTCTTTTGCCTTGACAATCTTCCAGTCCTCACAAGGAGGCGGACACCGGACTCTGCTGTATGGACACGCTATTCTTCTCCGGCATTCCCACAGCGGCATGGTAAGGGGGCAATGGCATTCAAAGAAGCTGTCACGGGGGACAGGGGAAGAGGCCTGGAGAGCCTTCAGCACTGCATCTACACAAGCCCAGCGAAGCGGGTGCTGTCACACAGTGAGACCCAAGGCCATTTTGGGTCAAAGCCAAGCAGGTTTATTTTCAAACTCTTGAGTCATCTGTTCTCTACCAAGGGGGAAGGGGTGTAAAAATTGCAAGGAATCTCCAAGGGAAGCTTTGAGGAGCTAGGGCGTGTAGCTCTCCGCCAAGCCAAGGTTTGAAAAGGCTGGGAGAAGGTTCTGGAGGCCAAGTCAAAAGTTCTAAGTAAAGACACTGAGGTCATCTGAGGTGGTGGTGGTGGTGGGGAGATGCTGGCTGTTCCTTGCCTTCTGCGTCACCGTTCCCAGGAGAGTCGTAGCTATGGAGGTCCACCACCAGAAGAAGGGCCTGAATTATTTTTTTTGAACAAAGATATGTTACGTATATTGAAATGGAAGTATAAATGCCATCAACACAAAAGGGAGCTTGCTCAGAAGCTGAAATACACCAAGTAAATGAGAGGAAGAGTGGGAAGCAGAGGAGAGAAGAAAGATAGGAAGAGAGGGATAGGAGAGAGAGGATGAAGGGGGGGAAGATGAGGAGAATAAGGAGGAGTGGAAAGAGGAGAGAGAAGAAGGAGAAAGGAAGGGGAAGTAGAGTAGAAAATGATGGAGGGAAGACAGGATGTAGAAGAGTG